TTTTTTTTTTTTTTGTGATGTTAGATCACTGAAAGGGGGATATGAGGAGTGAGGAGGCTGACCATTTTGAATGTCACAACGGGTCTTGCGGAATTTTGTGTTGTCACTAGTTTTGAATCAGTTGTTTGAATTAATAGGGTGTTGAGTTTCTCCATCTGTGTTTGAAAGTGTTGATTTGAGATAATATGGAGGAATAGGGATTTAGCAGCTTAAATCAGTTTCATCTTCACTGTGTAGTGAGCCCCTTTACATGATTTTAAGATTTTCGCATAAAAAAAGGTTGCTTTTCAGATAACTAGCTACTTGAGGAAAATTTACTGCAAACCATCTTAAGAGAAATAGGATTTTTGCTGCGTGATGACACAATGGCCTTGATGTGTTTTAACTTGAGCTCTTCGACTAGAGTAAGGTCTTTGTTGATAAGCTCCTGTTGCAATATGTGCCGATTTGATGCTTGATAATAATTCAATTTCTCACAATTTTAACCATGGAAAATGCTTGATTTTTAATCCAATTTCTCACAATTTTATTTATTCGTATTTTTTTGTAGGCATTTTTCGAAGGGAACCCTTTCAAAACAGTTCCAGGCCCTTTCAAGCTATTTTACCAGTGCATGCGTTCCAAGCCTGGGTACATTACGCTGCTCGTCTTTGGTTTATCTTGTTATGCAACATTCTTTTTGCCTCTGAAGCCTTGTTAAGAAGCATTAAAGCGTGACACATCTTTGAGATGTCCTGGGGAATTCAAAGACTAATATGATTTTCCTAGTTATACTGAGATTCTTTGCCAGAAATCAATGAAACTGAAACTGGAAAGTGCCTTGAACAGCATCATTACCGATATTTTTTTTCCCTCCACTTTTGCCTGAAAAATAGATCAATGATTTCTATTTCATACAGTAGTAAATTTTTAATGTCTTGTCATTTTTGTTCTTTTACCCTTTACACATCCATTCATTTATAATTCAAGTATATGCTGAGAATTCAACTGCATTTTGTTCCCCCTTTTTATGCAGAGAAGAACCTACTGAGCCCTTCTACTACTTGGACTTGGATCCTCCAAAAAGAGAAGTAAAACTTGAGTAGTGCTGTAAACGAACCGAACCGAACCAAACTTGGGCTGTTCGAGCTCGTGTTCATTTACGTTCGAACAGTAGTGTTCGTGTTCGTTCGTTTTCTTTTCTTTTTTTTTCCCCCTTCATCTATGCAAGCAATGGTATGCAATACAACTCGAACGATTAGCTATATCTATACTTCAAATCAATGCAAATTCGTATAAAGAATTAAGTTATATCTATACTTCAAATTTGAACCGAGTTCTTCTCAAGTAACGTTCCAAACAACTCGAACGATTAGCTACTTTCTAAGCACCTCGTGCATTCGTTACAAGGGCTTTCGTATATTACTAACTATATTCATATAATTTCTTGCAAGTATAAAAGGGGAAAAAAAAAAAAAAAAAATTGTACCAAACATCTCAACTCAAGACATCCACGCATGCCCTGCATCGAGGATGATGATGTCATCAATGTGTTGTCAATCTCGCCATGCGTACAGGATGATGTCATCGACTCAACTCAACTGCTCGGCCCTTCAGACACCACTTGACTCTGGCTTTGACCTCTCCTGGACTCCCCCCCACTCTTTCTCCTCAACATCTCCTTAATCTCAGCCTCTTTCCTATCCACAAAATCAATCATATCCTTAAAGCTCGTTGCCCGTGGGGCCCGCCTGCTCGAACGGGCGGGCTCAGCCTCAGCCCGCTCATCATCCTCGGCACTGTATTTACTGTACTGCAAACAAACCCTGCAGAAGAAGATTGTCAAGGCAAGAAAGCACGCGACCCCACACAAAAGGAAAAGGCCCCAAAAGCTCTTGAGCGAGAGCCGGTTTTCATCGACCGGGTTCGCCTGAGCCGAGCACCCATTGCTCGAGAGCCACTTGTCGTGTATTCTTTGAAGCTCCCCGGTTTCGGATAGTTGGAGAATGGCGGTCGACATGTCTACTGCCAGGGGAGAGTCCCTTTGGAATGCCTGTCGAAACATGAGTTTTGGTAAAAGCAAGACTAGTTTTGAAAATTTTTTAAAATAAAAACCCGATTTTTTAAAAAACACTTACAAATCCCCATCCGCTTTTGGTGAACTCACGCCCGACGATACTGAAAGTGCACTTTGTGTTGGACAGGAAAAGCTCGACATAAGGAAGCTCGTCAACAATGGCGGCTACACCACCGCCATTCGGGCCTCGTTCCAAGGCTTCAATGTATTCTTCTTGAGTTTTCAGAATGCGGAGCCTCGATTCAGCTATGTTTAGCTCGTTCATAAGATACCTATATGCAAATGATCCATCCTGGATGCCTATTGGGTCGGAACTTGAGATTAAAGAGTCTATTCCTTGAATTCTTGAGAAGAGCTGTTGCACAGTGAGGATTGAAGTCAAACTAGCCGTGTAGCTCGAGTTGATTATTAACACTACAAAAAGCCAAAAAATGAGCACCGCACGTCCCAGTGTGCTGACAGTGTTTTCTCCTGCAAAAAAGGGGGTCCATTTTGGATGCTTAAGCTTGGATTTTTTTGTTAGTTTTGAGATATGGAACACAAATGTCAGGAAATAAAAGGGGAAAATGGCAAGGAAATAGGAAAGGAGAACAAGTAATTAAGCAAGCAGATTTATTTTTCTTACTGTGAGAGAAGAACATTGTTGAGAAGCTGAACCTGAAAGATCGACATACATTCAAGTGAGAACATGAGTCATTTATCAAGTGCAATATCAAGTGAGTACATGAAAATACGTGCTCTATCAAAACAAATGTCGGAAAACACTAACCAAAAGACGGTCACGAGTTGCTGACGTGGAGAACCACGGAACTCTGTGTTAAGCCGATGCTCAAGAATCCAAACAACAGCCCCAACAAATAGGAAGAAGACACCTGTCACGGCCCACATTTGCCACGTGAATGGCTTGAGGAAAGCCCAAGGGCTCGATTTTACCTGCCTGACAGGTGCAACAACAACAAGACCAGATTCAAGGTACGGTTGAGTAAAGTCCACAATCCGTGTTCTGTTTGTAGTAATAGTCACATCCCCAACAGCGGCATCATATTTCTGCACAAAGTAAATTCACATAAATTCTCAGTTTTTTAAGAAGAAAAGGTTTGCTCATTTTGTTTTGGAAAGACCCATTGTAACAAAGAAAGAGAATGAATGCTCACATTTTGTGCAACGCCATTCACAAGATTATCGAACGATGGATTTCGCTGACCATCTCCAAACAACACATACTCGTGAGGCACCGGATAAGGCAATAAAGCAACAGCAGCTTCAAACACGTCTATGCAGTAACCTCTCGCCCCCAACGGGCCTTTATCCTTCGTAACAAAATCCGGATAAGTAACTCTATAAGGCACCGCTATCTTCAAAGGCTTCCCGTTATTCGGAAAAACCCATCCCTTAGGCTTCGATGTGGTCTCTCCCGGCCATATAACGCTATAAAGTCGCTGACTGCTCGCAGAAGTATTTCTCAGCTTCGGATATAAATTCTCCGGACGCTCGACCGACAGACCCGAGTAGTTCGTCCAGTAGCCGAGCCTCCGGAAACCGGTCCCACCAAAGTTCAAAACCTCAAACGCCGGCCGAACTAAATTCTTCTCTGTGTCGAACCGAACTTCACCGCTCAGGCCAGTGAAGTTCGTTTCCTTGAGAATCTCGAGCAAGGTTTGACCTTGGTCAAAGACCCGAAGGCTAACATTGGCATCACGCAAGCTCGAGTCGAAAGAAAATGTTATCTTTTCGCCGCTTTTCAGAAAAGAATCAAGCGCCCGGGCTAATAACCAAACCGAGTCATAAGCGTACAGAGCATACGAATTGAAAATCACCAACTGGTTAGCAAATTGAGTCTTTCGATCCGAATCGGGAGCATAATGCTTAAGAGCAATTACCCCTTCAACGAGATCAGCTGCTTCCCGATCGGCCACCGAATCAAGAACTGCAGGAAGCCAATCCGTAGCTATCCAGACATAACTGGCACTCATCATCCCGAGCCTTTTCGCGACAGAGAACACATTCAGACCAGAATCGGGATTCACATGTACAACAAAAACACGGGACGACAAGAGGTTGACTTTGACCAGCAAGTTATCGATGTCACTCAGTGGAGCTCCAGGCATAAAAGCTGCCTTGTAAGAGATCTTGGCCCGTTTTGCTGCAAGGGCATCTCCCAATGCGGAAACTCCATTCCTTCCGTAATCGTCATCTACGAAAACTGCAACTATTTCCCGCCACCCGAAGTAATCGATGAGGTCAGCAACTGCACGCATCTGGAAATAGTCGCTTATGGTCGTGCGGAGAAAGTAAGGGTACTGAAGGGCTGAAAGTGTGGGGTCAGTGGCTCCGAAAGACAATAGCGGCACGTGAAGCTCGTCCAAGATGTGACAAATTACGTGTGCTATCCCTGAGGACTGTGGGCCGAGGGCAGCCACGATTTCTTGCCCCATTAGTTTCATAGCTACACAAAGTAAGGAGGACCTGTCAAGATTTTCGTCGTTTTCCTTACTAAGCAACTGACGTAAAAAGGTGCATAAGCAAGGAGAAACAGTTTCGAAAAACTTTGTCTGTTATTGAGAGCAAGAAATGAGATATCTTTCTCATGTATATGAGATATGGAGTAGTTTATAACAGGTAGTTTAATGATATATGGGAAGGGTTCACATATCTATATGAAACTTTCACGGTTCTGACTAGTGGTAAATCGATAAAGCTTGAATCTTTATTGTTTGCAATGAAAAATGGAGGCTAAAATTATGCCTCAGGCACCTTAAATATAGGCATCAAATATAACGGGCATCTCGATAAACTAGAATCCGTGCAACTGAGCAAAAGAAGCAGAACATAAGAGATACATGATCAAATACTAAAGATCACACTACAAAGAAATAAATTCAAACATCCGATTGCCGCATAACTAACAGAAAACTGTTACAAAGCTAGACAAAAGAACAAGGAAAACCCAAATATAAAAAATAAAATTAAAAAACTCACCTTTCATTTCTTATCCTAAAAGATAAACAATCTTCAATCACACAGTATTCAAATGAAAGAGGAGATCAGGTAAAATTTTACCATCAACTATTCCAAGGAACCCACTGCAATTAGTGTCCTGCACTATAAGGTTAAGCTTTGTGCCCTTCAAAATGCCATTATCAGAATTGACATTATCAACTGCAGCAAGAATTGCAGGCCCAGCAGACCTCCCAATGACAGAATCTGATGTGAATAAAGCTCCAATATTTATCACTTTCGGCCCATTAACTACTACAGAACTCTGATTTCCTGTCTGGCCAGTGGCTTTCAGAGCAACCCACAAACAAGAAATCAAGAACACAAAAGCCCTCATCATATTCACTTGAACCCAAGGGCTATTGACACAGAAAATCAAGAATCTTGAAGTTAAATCACCATTTTTTTTTTTCTTTTTTAGGCTAAGAAATCACGAACCTCCCACAAGAACCTGAAAAAAAAAATAAAAAATCAAGAAGCTTCTGGAGTTCAGACGTTTATGATTTTTTTTCTCCTTTTTTTCTGGAGGGTGTGCTGTGCTATATGATTATATCATTATATGAAGCTGGTAATCTGAAGTGTGAATGTAAAAAGTCGAGGACCACAAAATGAAGATAGAAGGTTTTGAACAGAATTTAGACACGAGGGGCAAATGGGCTCTCATTGGGAGACTACAGAGTACAGACAAGCTGCTGCTGCAGTAATTAATTTTGACGAAGTAGTTTATACTACATTTTAGCAAAAAAAAAAAAAATAAATCAAAACCCACAATAAAAACGTTGAGAAAATTCTATCTCATCAACAATCACATTATCAAGACATTGCTTTTCCCATATTGTGTGAAAGTGAAAGCAAAACATCCATAGTAATAAAGATTACAAAAAACCAAGAAAGTTAGAATTTTTACAAATTCTGAGGATGTTAATTAAGTACAGCACCTAAACTTAGGAAAAATCTACGGAAGCTGACTTAGTCTCAATCATTTTTTTAAGCTACAAAGCTAAAATGATCAATCAGTTGTGAGGAGCTGTTAGGTGGGATTTGCACATGGATAAATAAATTCAAAATACAGAGCACAATAACTGTGGACTTGTCGACATGTGACAACTTGGGCATTTATATTTACCTGTAATAAATTTTGAACAATTCTGGAGAAATACTCTGTGTGTGTGTGTGTGTGTGTGTGTGTGTGTGTGTGTGTGCCATTGCTCGTGTTTGGTGAGTATAAGCTAGAGAACTTCTAATCTTGTAACAATATTAAAGTAGAGAAAGTTGATAGCCTCTGAAGAAAAACAGTCTTCTTGCAAGCTGGGAAAAGAATAATTCTTTCTTGTGTGTTCTTGTTTGCTTCACTCAGTCCTTGTCAGAATTGCACTTTAAAAGTAGAGTATATTGGGTAGATTTAGTTTAAAAGGGTAGATCATTGTTGATAAGTTATTTAACTGTTAAATAAGTGCTTTTGGAAAAAAATGAAATAATTACTACGGAAATAAGCATTTAAGAAAAATTGTTGTATGTGGTGGGTTGGAATCATTTATTTATTTAAAAAAAAAAAATAAGTGGACTAAAATAAAACCAAAAAAAAAAAAAATTGTGGACAAAAATAAAACGGACGGATTCTCAAAATCCGTGTTTTACAGAAACACGTATTTTGCAAATCCGTGTATGTATAATTTTACTACGAACACGGATTCCAAAAATACGTGTTCGTTTAATTATGAAGGGAACACGGATTACTACAATCCGTGTTCCCTTAATCTCGTAATTAAGCTAATTAACTAAACAAAACACAAATTATGATAATACGTTTTTCTTAAACACGGAATATCGAAATCCGTGTTAACTTGCAAAACGGAATTTCAAAATCCGTGTTTGAGTATTTATTCATTTTTTTATATTAAAATCAACACGGATTCTGAAAATCCGTGTTTATGTAGATTTAGAATATAAATATTTTTTTTTATAGTATATAGTTTTTTTTAATATATACTATATACATATATATTTTATAATTGACTGAGATTGTTATATAATAAAATTTAATTGTTTGGTTTTGTTTATTTATTTATTTATTTTGAGTTAGGGCTCGACTCTTGAATGCTCACGAGCTTCCTACTACCGAACGCGTTTATTTTGGCTGAATTTATATTGTTATCTTTCAATATGAAGATTTTTTTATAAATTTTGATTTAACATTTTTAACACGAAACAATATCACTTTAATATCAATTCATTCGTCAACTAATAATCTAGTACAAAAAGTGAAGCACAATTAACGATAAAAAAAATGAACCACAAAATATGTACACAAAACCATCAAATTAAATATCTAAAAATCCAATACAAAAAATAAAACTAACTAACTAGGAGTATATGGATTCCTGGGCTTGCGTACTCGGGACCCTTTCCGAGGAGGCCGTGGTACTGAAGAAGACGATGTTGCGGTCTGTCCAGGCGTGACTGGCTCTTGTTCTTCTTCACAAAATTAATTAATTTTTGAAAAAAATTAATACTTCGACCGAACAAATAAAAAAAAAAAAGAAATGAAAATAAATACATATTTGTATTTAAGTAAAAAAAATCTCACCTTGTTCGTCTTCTTCAGTCCCGGGGACTGCAGTGGCGGGTTCGGCTGCACGGCGTCTTCTCCCTCCACCCCCTCCACCAACGTTGGCCGCCGGTCTACGCCTCGCCCGTTGGGGCAGTGTCTGCTGGGGTGGGATGTAGTCCTCTTGAGATAAAATTTGCCCCGACGACGCCCCTTGTTGTGTGACCGGCTGGCCCCCAACCGTCAGAGAAGCGTAGAGAACACCCCGCGTTTGTTCGTACCCTTGCTGCGATGAGGGGTCTAGCGTACCAAACACGTCTTCCATGGTGGATAGCGTGTTATACGCAACCTCTGTACCCGAATGCTGAAAATAAAATTC